CCCAGATGGGTTACTCCAACCGCTGCCTGTCCCTTCGAGACCCTGGTCCCACATAGCGCTAGATTTTATTACCACCCTCCCAGGATAACACGGTCGTTTTGACTGTGGTGGACCGGTTCTCGAAGGCGGCTAATTTTATTCCCTTGCCCAAATTACCCTCAGCCAAGAAGACAGCGTTGGCCGTTGTAGATCACGCCTTTCGTTTACGTGGCCTCCCAACAGACGTGGTTTCTGACAGAGGTCCCCAGTTCGTGTCCAAATTTTGGAGAGAGTTTTGTAAATTACTGGGAGCGACGGTTCGTCTGTCCTCAGGGTTTCAGCCCCAGAGCAATGGTCAAACCGAGAGAGCCAACCAAGATTTGGAGAGGACGTTACGAAGTTTAGTCTCCAAGAATCCTTCGTCCTGGAGTCAACAACTTTCTATGGTGGAGTACGCACACAACACGTTGCCAGTGTCGTCCACGGGTCTTTCTCCGTTCGAACGTAGTGCAGGTTACCAGCCACCAATTTTTCCCAGTCTGGAATCCGAGGTCGCGGTTCCCTCCGCTTACGCCTTTACCCAGAGGTGTCAGCGCACATGGACCAGAGCCCGTGAGACTCTGCTCCAGGTGCGTGCTCGCACCAAGGCTAAAGCCGTTTATCGCCACCGGTCTATGCCTCCCGTATACGTCGTCGGTCAAAAAGTGTGGCTTTCAACCAAGAACATTCCGCTCCGTCTCTAACAAACTTGCTCCTAAATTTACTGGCCCGTTTACTGTCGCCAAAATGATCAGTCCGGTGAAAGTCCGCCTCAACCTGCCTCCAGCGTACACGAGGATTCGTCCCGCCTTCCATGTATCTAAAATTAAACCCGTGTTTCGTTCCATTATTGATCCGCCTGCCCCGGTTCCTCCCCCCCCGCGTTTCGTAGATGGGGAACCAACTTATTCGGTTATTCGTATACTGGATTCTAGACGGAGGGGACGCGGATTCCAGTATTTGGTGGACTGGGAAGGTTACGGTCCCTATTTCCCTATTTGGTTGTGTTGTGAGTATTTAGAGCACACGTGTTTTGTAAAATTGATGAAGATGTTTTCTTAATTCGCTGGTGTTTTTTTTTTTATATATATTTGCATGCGTTTTCTCATCTGCAGGGCGTTGAACACTCTCGGCCAACTGTTCTGACCTTTACAGACTTCTACACTTCATCACACTTTCACTTTCTAAATGATGTCTAAGCTGCTGCGCATTTTCACTTTTTAGATGCCCTCTGAACGGCAAAGGAGTTGGATGCAATTAGGGTAAGTAAAAAAACACAAAAACAATGCTTGTGTGTGTGTTTATGCAGTAAGCTGTGTGTTATTTAAACTGTAACATCTTCAATAGAACAAGCAGCTAAACAATATGTTTAGATATTCCTGAAATACTTTTTATTCTGTGCTTCCTTTATTCCTGTTATTTTTCCTGCTGAATTCCTGCGTCCCCTTGGTATTCAGCCTTTACGTTGATGTAGTTAGTGTTTTTCCTGTAAAAATGTTAAATGCAGGACTTTAACCAGTAATGGAGTATTATTACATTTCTTTCTATTCACAAAAGAGGAAGAGCTCCCACACTGCCAAGAGTTAATGCTTCCACTTCCTTTGTACCCCTCCTTCCTTTCTGCATTAACCCAACGAGCTGTCCTAAGCTGTGTAATGCAGCTTTAACCGGCGCGCCTGTGCCAGATGTTACTGAGCTGGACGGATGCAAATATTTAGAAAACATTTTAAGTTTAAAGTTTGGTTGTTCTACTAATTAACTCCGATCCAGTGAGTGCACACTCTGCCACCGGTGACCGTGTTGGAATGCAGCCTGCATCTCACAAACTGCAGAATTATCTTACTTTCCATTAATGGTGTATTAAAAGTGTGGTGGTGTCTCATTTAGGGGCTCCCCCGAAACTGGATCGCTTTCCACATTATTTCAGCAACTAACACAACTATGCCGTGCACCACTGGTATTGTGTCGGTGTCAATTTCAGCCTGCAAGAAAGGATGCAAGTTAACGGTACAAAGCGATTCGTTTACTAGCCTAACTTATTGATTCGTTTACTAGCCTAACTAGCCTAACTTTGAAACATTTGATTTAGATTTATTGTGTGTATAGCTTCTAACTAACGCGACCGGTCTGACACCTCGGCAGAGGGGGACATATGAGTGTACAGCAGGCGATCATCTCTTGTAACATAGTGTAAGGTGGAACAGGTATATATTATTCTTTGAGGGACTCCATGCATTTTAACACCATCTTGTACGGCCCCAAACCTCTCTGGGCCCCAGTGCGTCAGCACTGTCTACACTTCCTCCCCTGTCCTGAAATACTTTTAATAACTTACTACTTCCTTCATTCCTGTTATTTCACCAGCTGACTGCCCCTGCATCTCTGTGGTATTCAGCTCCTCCCTTCCCCTGTTCCTGTATTTGTTTCAGGAACAGTAACTGCTGAGTGATGAAGAACAAAAAACTAAACTACCAGTGCCTCGAGATTACCACTAATTACACTAAAGACAAATATAGGCCTATGTCTTGCTAACATGCATGACTCATGAGCTGAGCAAATGTTATCTGAAGTTTTCCATTTTTGCGGTGCACGACGGGCTACAGCGGGGTACAAGGCTACGCGTAGGCTACCCCATCGGTTCAATGCAGAAGTGTAAATTACACTAAAAGAAGACCGTTATCTCAATGTAAACTGGTTATTTTATAGAAAAGTACAAATGTTGAGTATTAAATAATTGAAAGGAAGAGCAGTTCTGTTTTTTGGCCACAGGTGTCAGTCGCGAGTTT